AAAAGTTGTTCTCATATCCTTGGGAGACTTGTGGTAGGTTGGTAGTTAATGACAAGTTGAGTGTGCATTCAGCCTGTTCTGCTGTACATATACATCATTAAGTTCCCCTTGTAAGATTGGCTGAAAATGCTTTGCTATTCCCAGGTACTAGAATAGAAAGTATTCCAACTAAAAAGAATGGAATACATGACAGATTTGTCTGTCAACTGCAGGTTCAATACATGTTAGTGGCCCTTCACTTACAAGCAAGATCTTTGTTTCCTTAACAGCACTTTTGATCTGCTTCATTTTAGGGTTTTCTACTATTAAACACCATGTGTGACATTGGCATCTTTAGCTGACCTCATTGTTGATTTGGTCAACTACTCTATCTGTTTCTATAGGTATTCCAGAGATGTCCTGAAATTACAATCTTTGGATAACAATTAAGTGATTTTGGTTATTTGCTTTCCATTATCAGACCTCTTCATTTGAATTTTCCTGATGTAATTGATGTTATACGATGGTAAATGGTGTGGAGCTTGATTGTACCCCTTTACATTTGCATTGTTATTATTTATGATTAATAACAATTATTATTGTTGCTATTAATCATAATGTTTTCAAAATATCACAAAACTAACAACATCAATGTGCCTCATTGGAGAGCTTAGGAACAAGTCAAATGTGAAACAAAAAGTTATTCCAATCATATTGCAAATAATTGTAACTAATAAATGCATCTGGTGTAAATCAATCTTTATATGAAGAGGGGAAAACATAATTCAGAGAAGAACTGATGTTGTGAAATGGAGAACTGAGACAGATAGGACAGCAAGTCCTTCAGCTAATAAAGATAATTTTTGTGAAAAGTTTCTTGACATTCATGCTATTTTTTCCCTCTTTTGATTGCCTCCAATTTCACATAATTATATCACACTTGCAGAAACTGAATAATCTCTCTTCCAAGCATTTATTGCCTCCATGTATTGGATAGACCTTGCAAAGTGCAGCCATAAATGTTGAATTCTGGACAAATTCCTCTGCCCTGTACCAGTGAAAATCCAGGAAGTGAATGGATGCTAAGAGTTATTATATAGAACCTCATGTTGACAGAGGCTTATGGAATCTTACACCTGCTTAGTTCTCATTTGTTGGTGTGGTCTCCAAAGTTTGAGGATATTCTGTATTTAACAACTAAGGGGTATGGATTAAGCTGGCTGATTAAACCTACTCAGACTAATATTCTATCTAATATTTCTTCCCACAAATTTTGTATTAAGGGCCATGTTTTATGTACTTTGAACACCTGTGCTCAAAGTGTTGTTTTTGCTGAGAATTTTGAGTTTGTAATAAATGCACAACCAGGTTGTAATCTGGATATATGCATAGAACAACAACAACAATAACAACAAACCTTTAGTAACGGCATAAAATATAAGTCTAATCATGCTTATGGGAAGAATATATTTACCTTGTTATGAAGAGAAAACTTCAAAACAAGTGAAACACAACAAGAACCTTATAGGAAAAAGTATTATTTGTCTAAGATTTCCTTCCTTCCTTCCTTCCTTCCTTCCTTCCTTCCTTCCTTCCTTCCTTCCTTCCTTCCTTCCTTCCTTCCTTCCTTCCTTCCTTCCTTCCTTCCTTCCTTCCTTCCTTCCTTCCTTCCTTCCTTCCTTCCTTCCTTCCTTTTCTCTTTTCTTTTTTTTTTTCCTTTTTATAATTGTTATTACTTTTACCAGTTATATTTCTGTAATAAATCAAATTCTCCTTGCCTCTTAGAAAAGGACAAAGGAGGGATTGTGACAGATGATTTTCTCCTCAAACCATAGTTTTTTTTCCTTAAACTTCTAAACAGCTGATTAAAACCAGATGATTAGGGTCACTTTCATAAATACATTGAGAAAACAAGTGTTTTATTTTTACATGTAAGATTTTTTCTTTAAATGTAAAAATAAAATTATATTTACATTTCCAAAGCAACTATTAAAATAAGACTGTAGCAAAGTGGGATGTGTCTTTGAAAATTACATTTTTGCTGTTAATCTTAAAACATACTTCTTTTTTATTTATCAATGCAAAAACAGTGCTACAGGAAAATAATATCTTTATGCAGTACATCTATATTAAAAATTACAGTGCCGCCAACTATAGGAATTGAATTATTAATGCTGTTTTGGTGGCTGATGATGAATCTGCCTATCATCTAACAAGAAAAACCATATGGCTATATTTAACTTCTGTGTTTCCCCCTAATAAACAATGTGGGATTATTTCATAACAGCTGCAGCATTCACTTTAAAAAGTAAACAGTGACATATTTGCCATCTGGTTTAGTGACATTTTATGGTAGTTAAGAGCTGTCATTCTCTGGTAACTCCAGATTTACCACCTGAAGTTCACATTACAACTTTGATTAGCTTAGCATTTGATATCTATACTGTAGAATAACCTGGCCAATGTTTTAAAGAAAGTCAGTACCTCAGCAGTTAAAATTATTTTTCTGGCCCTGGCACTACAATTCTTGCCTCTTTTTTTCTGTCCCTCATTGTAATCCATCTATGCACCACCATGTGTAATATATTCATTATTACGTTTATCACCAGAATAATATTAAGTACTGCTCAGTAGGCCCAGTAGGCCTGTGAGCTAATTTCACCTCTGATTAAAAAATAAATAAATAAAAAAATTTCCTTCATTATTGTCCAACTGGAGGACAATAAGGCTGGGGAAGAGGCCTGCACCCCTGTAATTATGGGAGTCCTGAAGTGACATTGAAAAGGCTGGTCTACTGGGCATGCCTTGCTTTATTAAATTGTGGATTTTTAAAATTAATGCAAATGCATGTCTATCTGAAATATTGTTTGCTGTTCATATTGGAGATATATACTCTGGTACTTCACAGAGTTCAATTAAATTAATATCATAGAGTCCCTATCTTTCCATTACTTAAGCATCTTTCATACCATTTGCTTTCCTCATGGTGTGCCTTACATTTTTATTTTATACAGTGACTCCATTTCCTGGTATATACCATAGCTTCTGGGAAACCATTCATAACTAGAACACTTTAATGCCTACAATAAATATTTGTAGTATAAAATGTTTTATGTATAATCCTGTTCATTATAAAATTATTTTCTCAATGCATGTTTAGCTTTAGTGAGTTAGAAACACCACAGTATTCACGGAATACAGTACACCAAAAAAACAGTATGTTACACTGAACCATGTATTTATTATAAATATTTGGATAAATGGTTAGAAATAGAGAATTCTGTTTTACACAAGTATGTGTGTACATGTGAATGCGTGTGTGCATCCACAGAACTTGCTACTGTTTTATTCCAGGGTAAAAAATTATCCTGAGTAAAAAATTGAATGGAGGTTCTTCAGTGATTCCCAAGTCACTGGTAGACCACAGAATTATGTTTCTTGTCCTCTAACAGTTCAAGAAAATTCCTTATATTTCCTGTAAATTCCTTTCTTCCTTTCTTAAAAGAACTTGATGAAAGATTAATTATACTCTCACATATATATTATCACTACCTCAAAAAGAAAAGGGGGGATGCAAACCATACTTCATACCAAATAATTCAGTATTTTCCAATGTTATTTTCCGGTTTTCCAGTTGGTAATTCAGCAAGTTTTTCTGTCCTGGTTTCATCTGGGATAGAGTTAAATTTCTTCCTAGTAGCTGGTATGGTGTTTTGTTTTAGATTTAGTGTGAGAATAATGCTGGTAACATACCAATTGTTTAGTTGTTGCAGAGCAGGGCTTACAAAGAGCCAAGGACTTTTGAGCTCCTTGTGCTGCCATGCCAGCGAGCAGGCTAGGGGTGCACAAGGAGCTGGGAGGGGACATAACCAGAACAGCTGACCCAGACTGGCCAAAGTGATATCCCATACCATGTGGTGTCGTGCTCTGCAACAAAAGCTGAGAATATTGGCTAGAGGTTGGGGGAGAGGAGCACTGATCAGGATCTGGTTGGGCATCAATTAGGGTGGTGGCCAATTCGATTGTGCATCACTTGCTTTGTATATTATTTTATCATTATCATTATTATTAATATTAGCAATATTTTCCCTTCCTTTTCTGTCCTCTTAAACCACCTTTATCTCAACCCAAAGTTTTTTACCTTTTTTTTTCTCATTCTCTCCCTCACCCCACTGAATGAGGTAACAGCTCTACGGTGCTTAGCTGCCTGCTGGGTTAAACCACAACATTTTCTTAACAGCATTATCTCTTGGTACACAGACTTTATGAGTATGTAGTCTAACAAGATTTCACAACAGATGAGAAAGTTACAGTTCACATCCGTTTCACATCCATTTGAAAAATTATTATCTTAGTGTTCAATGGAAAAATGGTGGCAAATATTACCTAAGTGACTTTTTGGAACTGTTAAACTTTTACTGTTTGCCAAACAGAATGGCCAGGGACCTAACTTTCTGTTCTGGATTCTCTTTCAGGTACAAGGCAGTAAAATACTGTACTGAAATATTGTGTTTTAATTGTAATTTTTATTTGACATAAATATTTTCTCAAATCTAAACTGTTATCTAAATAGTTCAATAAAATTACCATGTAGATACACTTTCACTTCTCTCTTTATGGGCCATATTATGATCTCCATATTCATGTCAGAAAGCATCGGTTATTTTCATGAGCAGTTTCTATGCAATTAAGTGTTTAGAGTCTGGACATAGAAGAGGGATTCAATAACTAAGGTTTCCTCAGCTGCTCATCTAGAACTCCATTTGACTGCCTTTATCCGTACAGTCTTGTGACATTTTTCTATATTGCAGACAATTTGTTCTCAAGAAACTTTAGATTTTATAGTGCTGTCTCTGATAATTCTAAAACAAATTCAATAGATTGCAGATAGTCACTCTGCACTTGAAGCAAGTATGAACAAGAAAGAATTGAAAAATTGCTTTTACTGTGTAACTGGCATGAGATAGCTGTTTCATGAGTTGTTAGAGCCACTGAGCAGAGTTCAACTCTGATTGTATGTTCAGAAGGGTCAGGTCAGGTGCACTCACCAGAGCTGACTGTGACTCTGCATGTTTTGTGTCCCTGTTCTGGAAATCCCTCTAATGTGAGTAATGTGTCTAATAAATTTTATCAATCTTTTTAATGATTCACAAAGTTTCTGATGCATTAACTTTAAGCTGTCATCTCTTGCCCATCGACAGCACAATAGATCATTTAATTTTTTATTTTTTTTTTTTGTAATTTAGGTCTTAGAAGAGCAACTCATAATGAATTAAGAGCCAGGAGTGTCAAACCCTTGCAGTTTCTTACAATAAACTTGAGAGAAGTAACTATCACGGAACTGCAAACATCAAGATCCCCTTTCTGTCAGCCTTGTACTTTCTCAGACTGTGAGTGTTGCAGCTACTTCTGCCAATTTGGGGTTCATTTCCCTATGTGATGGAATTGTTTTGTTTACACAAAAACTGTTCTGTGAACTTTTTATTTTCCTTGTCTTCTAATATCTTTTCCTTGCATCTTACTGAATATATAATTTATATTAGTTTATTCTGAAGAGCTCAGCAGCTTATGGGCAAATTAAACTATAATGCTATTCTTTTAGAAACCCATGCTAGAGGGAACTGTAGTCTGCTAATGAGTACTGAGGGACCATTTGTAGACTCCCAAGAAATTCAGAGCAGTTCAAACTTGTGAGCATAATCTTCATAAAATGTTATGAGCTGTTGCATGTATTAGGGCAAATTAATACCTAAAATAACCATTTAAAAATCGCTGGAATTAGTCTAGGGATGTATATAGTCATGATGTAGGTGATTCCCACTTATAAATCAACAACAACAAGAACAACAACAACAACAACAAAATAATAATAATAAAGCAATTTGTTTCAATATCATTTAATTAAATATGCAAATATACATAAATATGCAAAGCAGAGTGGAACTAGGGTCTTTTTTTTTTTCTCCTTAGCACATGGCTTAGTATATATAACTCCAATAGATGCAATAACATATATAGTTCTTTACATTTTTGCATTTATATAACTTTTTTTTTGTTTGCAATTAAAAAGTTCTGTTCTTAAGAACCTTTTTATTATTATTTTAAATAGTTTTATTTATTTTAATTTATTTTATTTTTTTCCTAAGCTCATTTTGTCAAAACTTCACTAAAAAAAATATTTTTCAGATCCAACATGTACTGTTGTTAAACATAAATGGAAAGAGGACACCCATCAGGAACACAAGAGAGGTAGACCAATTTTCCCTGCTGTATTATAAGACAAAATAATCTTCAATAAATGCTTACAGTGAATTGTTCTCTTTCAATCTCACTAACTGGAACTTTAATTTACAAATATCTTGAATTACTTTCAGGGAACAGACAGACATTATAACCACATGATTAGGGCACCAAGATACATAGAAGTTCAAGTCCCTTCTCAACCTACCATTTTGCCCTCTAAGGTCTATTCACTCAGCCTAGCCATGTGTGACAGACCTCTGAGCAATGCAATACTTAGAGCTGGAACTGCTTGAGTGGATCCTGAAAATGAGAATATGAGAATCCTGAACTCTACTAAAATAGCCTTCAAAGGCTATGTTCAGTTTCCTAAGTAGAGGCATCTAGTGTTTGAGATTCCGTGGGGATGTGAAACATCCACAGAGAGTCACAGTAAATATAAAGCAATTATTTACTGGTTTTCACAGACAACACAGAGTTAAAATTTAGCAAGCTATTAGCCTTTTAGCAACCTATTAGACTATAAGCTGTGTGTTCATTATGCCTGCTAAGGTTTCTGAAGGGTTGATCAGATGTTGACAAGTTGACATTTTCCACCTTCTCTGTTGACAGTAATGGCAGTGTTTTACAACTGGGCTAACTCCTGTCCCCACCTCACCCCCTTTCTTTTTTTTTTTTTTTTTGGTTTCACCTTTAGGATTTTATACCTTCATACATTGGATAAGGTTTACATGGCTTGTTTTTAAATGAATTTTATTGAGGTACAATTACACTGGAATTTCAGCAGGCAGACATGTTGGCCATACAAGGAGTTTCTTGATAAATTTAACCACAAAAAGAGAGCATGCAAGTGGTAAAATCAAGGACAGGTGATGAGGGAGAAGCGTAAGATTATTGGTTAGGTATTTAGGGAAAAATTTAGTACTAAATTCACCTGAAGCTATGATGATTGAAGGACAAGAATGTTAAAAAGACCATATGCTAGCTGCAAAAGGTAGTCCAGGAAATGTAGGCAATATAATGAAGACAGTATACTGTCAAATACTTTACACTACCTCTCCTCACCCTCTTTTTTTTTTTTTTTTCTTTTTTTTTTGGTCTTCGCATGCGAGTTATATGCTTGTCAAGCAGAAGATTGAGAGCAGAGTCGCAGTTCTCCCTTAATCACCTGGCACACAGTTTCTGGGTTTTCCTTATACCCCTAGTTGATCTAACTTCCCTTTTATCCATTAACTGCCTCTGTAGACTTTGCTCCCACTTACTGTTAAGCAGGTGTCCAGGCAGACACTGTAGACAGACAGGAGACTGGTGCTCCCTAATCAGCAGTGAGCAGAAGACCAACAATGAAGACCTTTTTTAAACAAGAATCTGCCTGTGACAAAAGAGTTAACAAAAACTTTTAGCTGTGGCAGACCACAGAAGCTGTAACGAGTAACTGAAAGCTCATTTTTTAACGAAAACAACAACAACAACAACAACAACAAAAGTAATAGACAAATAAGCAAACAAGTTCCACAGAAAGCTTGGGGCAGGGATGTATGGGGGAATGAATGGAAGAAGTATAAAAGTTGTGGACAAAATAAACAAAAGAATAATGCACGTCGTAAGAAAACTTTGTCTAAGTAAGTAAATACACTATCAGATGACAAATAAATATCTGAGAACCATCAGAAAAACAAACAAACAAAAACACTCAGCCCCCACTATACCATCTGCTAAAAATCAGGAGGATAACAATACGAAAAGGCCGCAACAAACCCAGACACAACTTTTCCTGCAAACAAAAACCTGCAAAGGTTGTGTGTTCTTTCACTATTTTGTTTAGGTTAAGAGAAAGATTGTTTGTTTGTTTTAAATACTTCAAACTTCTACTTTCTCTAGGATTGCTCCTTTAACAGATCTGTAAATAAGAATTGATATAATCTCTGTTCTTTGCTTCAAAGCATATTTCTTCTGTAGGTAGCATGCATGGTATCTTTGCATCGCTGGTACTACATTCTTGTGTCAAGCACCTATTTTTTCATATTTATCTGTGATAAATAATTTTTCAAGGCTAAAATGCACTTTTTGTCATTGGTTAGGCTCCTTTTGTAATGATTTTGTTTTGATCTTCTGAATTCAGTATCAGTCATTCCAGACCAACTGGCTACAAGAACAGTGCTGACAATGCAAGCTGTCTTATACAGTTGGTCAACACTGAACGAAGAATCACACTGGGATTTGCACATACACAAAAACATAAGCCAAAATGTCAATAGTCAATTGTTTGAGGATAGGTCTTGTAGGCAAACTATCCCTGAGGTTTCCTTATTTTCACATTTAAGGGCTGTCTAGTCTCTTCAAATAAAGTCTGTGGTGGATATAAAGTTGAACTTTGTGTCAGCCATTTCATTAAAGAGCTGCAACTTTATCTACAGAAGTTTTGGAGACAAATTTGAAATTGGAAGACCTACAGTTTTGGCAGTCATAACTCTTGCACTCAAAACTCACCTTTTGTATATTCATATACACGTATATAAGGATGTTTATAGGTATGCATATATAGATGCATACTTATATGCATCTACATATAAACCACATAGATATATATGTATGAGTATCTAAATGTATATAAACATATATATACAGTTATATGCAGTTATATTTAAATATACAGATACACCTTCACCCTTGTCTTTCAAACATTGCAATCACAATATCAGGTACAGTCCAGGTAGGTGGCACTTCTTCCATGTAAAATAGCATATTAACTAAACTGCTGATAAAATCGACTATGAAAAATGTTTGCATGGGAGTGGGTGTCTGATGGAAAGCTCAGTGATAATTTAATATGAAGAACAAATAACAATAGAAAAATGTAAAGTGGAAAGGCTAAAATACATATTGAAGCTGAAATTTTTCCTCTGTTTCAGGGTAATTGAAGAGATCTTGCTAAGGAGAAGAATTTTCATCACTTTTATCTACTTTGAAGTTTCTTATACTCAATGAAAAATGTCAGTAAATGAGAAGTGGAAGCAAGATACTTTCAATAATTTACCATCAGTTCTGGCTAACAGGGGAGGTCCCGGTTAACTAGAGGTTGGCAGATGTGATCCCAGTCTACAAGAAGGGCAGAAAAGAGGATTCAGGAAAATACAGGCCTATCAGTCTGCCTTTGGTACCAGGGAAGTTTATGGAGGAAACCCTCTTGAATGTCACCACAAGGCACATCAAAGACAACTAGGTGATCAGATCCAGACAGCATGGGTTTAAGAAGGTCAGGTCCTGCCTAACTAACCTGATCGTCTATGATAAGATGACCTGATTAGTAGATGAGAGAAAGGTTGTGGATGTTGTCTACCTGGATTTTAATAAAGTGTTTGACACTGTTTCCCACAGTATTCTCACAGAGAACCCAGCTGCCCATGACTTGGACAGGTGTACAGATGTTCTGGGTGAAGAATGGACTAGATAGCCAGGCTCAAAGTGTCATAGTGAATGGAGTTCAATCCAGCTGGTGGGTGATCACCAGTGAGCCAGTACTTGGGCTAGACTGTTTATTTTTGTCAACACCTTTGGTGAGGAGATACAGTGCACTCTCAGTAAGTTTATGGGTAATACCAACCCAGGCAGAACTGTGAATCTGCTTGAGGGTAGGAAGGTTTTGCAGAGAGATCTGTATAGATTTGGCAAGATCAGTGGATCAAGTCCAGTTGCATGACATTCAGCAATGCTAAGTGTTACATTCTGCCCTTGGATCATAACAACCACATGCAGTGGTATAGGCTTGCTGAAGAACAGAAAGAAAGCTGCCCATCAGAAAAGGACCAGGGGGATGATGGTCGACAGCCAACTGGACATGAGCCAGCAGTGTGCCCAGGTAACCAAGAAGGCCAGTCTGGCCATTCTGGTCTGCATTAGGAGACACTCAGGAGGACAATAAGGATGTTGTGAGGCTGTGCAGGGACAAAATTAGAAAGGCCAAAGCTCATCTGGAGCTCAATCTGGCTACTGCCGTTAAAGATAACAAAAAATGTTTTTATAAATACATCAACACAAAAAGGAGGACTAAGGAGAATCTCCATCCTTTACTGGATGCGGAGGGAAACTTACTTACAAGAGATGAAGAAAAGGCTGAGGTGCTTAATGCCTTCCTTGCTGCTGTCATTAGCAGCAAGAGCAGTTGTTCTCTGGATACCCAGTACCCTGAGCTGGTAGAAGGGGATGGGAAAAAGAATGTGGCCCTCATAACACATGATGAAATGGTTGGCAACCTGCTACAACACCTGGATGTACACAAGTCAATGGGGCTGGATGGAATCCACCCAAGGATACTGAGAGAACTGGCAGAGGAGCTGGCCAAGCCACTTACCATCATTTATCAACAGTCCTGACTATCGGGGGAGGTCCCAGTTGACTGGCGGCTAGCAAACGTAATGCCCATCTACAAGAAGGGCCGGAGGGTAGACCCGGGGAACTATAGGCCTGTTAGTTTGACCTCAGTGCCAGGGAAGCTCATGGAGCAGGCCCAGTCAGCATGGGTTTATGAAAGGCAGGTCCTGCTTCACGAACCTGATCTCTTTCTATGACCAAGTGACGTGCTGGGTAGATGAGGGAAAGGCTGTGGATGTGGTCTACCTTGACTTCAGCAAGGCCTTTGACACCGTTTCCCACAGCATTCTCCTCAAGAAACTGGCTGCTCTTGGCATGGACTGGCACACGCTTCGTTGGGTTAGAAACTGGCTGGATAGCCGGGCCCAAAGAGTCATGGTAAATGGAGTCAAGTCCAGTTGGAGGCCAGTCACTAGTGGCATCCCCCAGGGCTCAGTACTGGGGCCGGTACTCTTTAATATCTTTATCGATGATGTGGATGAGGGGATCAAGCACACCCTCAGTAAGTTTGCAGATGACACCAAGTTAGGTGCGTGTGTCGATCTGCTTGAGGGTAGGAAGGCTCTGCAGGAGGATCTGGATAGGCTGCACCGATGGGCTGATGTCAACTGTATGAAGTTCAACAAGGCCACGTTCCGGGTCCTGCACCTGGGGCGCAATAACCCGAAGCAGAGCTACAGGCTGGGAGATGAGTGGTTGGAGAGCTGCCAGGCAGAGAAGGACCTGGGAGTGATGGTGGACAGTTGGCTGAATATGAGCCAGCAGTGTGCTCAGGTGGCCAAGAAGGCCAACAGCATCCTGGCTTGTATCAGAAACACTGTGACCAGCAGGGCTAGGGAGATGATCGTCCCCCTGTACTCGGCTCTGGTGAGGCCGCACCTCGAGTACTGTGTTCAGTTTTAGGCCCCTCACTACAAGAAGGACATCGAGGTGCTTGAGCGGGTCCAGAGAAGAGCAACAAAGCTGGTGAGGGGTCTGGAGAACAAATCTTACGAAGAGCAGCTGAGGGAGCTGGGCTTGTTCAGCCTGGAGAAGAAGAGGCTCAGGGGTGACCTTATTGCTCTCTATAAATACCTTAAAGGAGGCTGTAGCAAGGTGGGGGTTGGCCTGTTCTCCCACGTGCCTGGTGACAGGATGATGGGGAATGGGCTAACGTTGCACAGGACAGTGCAGGACTAACATCAGCAGACAGTGCAAGACTAACATCAGCAGGAATATATATTGCCCTCATTGCGGAACCATGCCTCCAGTGGGAACTCTACTTTTCTTGGTATTCATTCAGGGCTGCCTCCCCATCAGCAGAGTGGCTTTGCTGCAGCACACACTCGCTCTTGGTTTCTTCAGTGAGGTAGATGCACAAGCAGTTGGCTTGAAAATTGAGTGGAAACTAACAAGTGGGATGGCTTTCTCCTTTTCTAAATGAGGTCATCTTATCTGAGGTCATCTTATTTATGGGTATTTGTACAGAAGAAAAGGGAAGGCAGAAGGTTAGGACAGATTTTCCCTTCAAAATAATGCCTGAGTGTATTTCACTGATTTCCTCCCTTTCCATTGTTTGGCTAAGAGTTAGGAAAATCTGAAGAGGAATTATGGTCTTATGTGTGCTGAGGAGAAAAATGCGTTTTTAATTAATTCCTTTTAGATGTACTGACCCTCATTTTATGGAAGCACAAATTGAAACTTTCATTTCACTTGCTACAAGATGTGGGAAGAAGCCAGCTATACCAACATCACAGCTGTTCACTTTTTTTTTTTTTTTTTTTTTTTCCAACTGGCCTCACACCCAAAGCCATCTTTTTCAATGTTAGCCAGCCAGAATAACACTGAGCAACTGTAGGTTTGGTGAAGATTTAGTGTGGTACTGAGATAGACTGGACCTCTTATGGATTTTGAAAATTTTGCTCTGAAAAGGGAGAGAACAGGCAGTGATATACATAATGATACAACATGGTCTACATGGCTACAGCTTTTTAAACACAAAATTGTAAGCAGTTTATGAACAACTTGAATAATTGCATTTCTTTACCAGAACCTTATCAGTTCTGGTAATTAACCTCATTCTTAATTGGGGTTAGCAAAGGGTCCAGTGAAGTATTCACATGCTCTTTGCTACTTCCTTTCATTTACACCAGTTAAGAATATCACCCAAAAGTTTATGCAATTCTATCTTTCAGTGTTACACTGATCATATTCACTTTATATTCTGGATTTTTAATAAGGAGAATGAAAATGAATTGCTTTAGGAATTTTTAATTAAAATATTCTATTTAACTTTTGAAGTGTTAAATGATAAAGGAAATCTTATTAAAATATTTTAACAAATATTATTTTAATATCAATTTCTTCTGAAAATAGAATTTTTAGCCCAAGGTCCAAATAAGTTCTACAGGATACTTTTCATTGCTTCTTTCTGATTTCGGATCATCTGCCAAGCCTTACCAGATAGATCCCCAAGCTCAGAGTCTATTTATCTATCAGAGCTCACTCACTCCAGGTTGTCTGCTCCATGAGCTACACTGGAAACTGACCTGAATACTCCATTATACTGCATTGCATTTACCTGTGTTGTTGAAACAATGGCAATTATATTCAATAAGTTTTATAGATAAACAAAGCAAACCACTTTCATGATGAAAATAATGTTTTATTCCTAAGAGGAAGGAATAGATATAAAACCCAGAACTGTCAAAATCCCTCACTTTGCACAAGAATATTTTATGGTGTTTTTTTTTGAAAACAAACAAACAAAAAACAGTTAAACATTCTGTTAAAATAATTTAGCTCTAACTGAAAATCAGTGTTTTTAAAACTCTTTTTCATTACTACAAAATTTAAATTACAAGGCAGATTTGGCTTTATTTTATACTACTGCTTTCTTAATATCTTACTCTCCTCTAGGTAATTTTAAAGCTTAACTTAAAAAATTCAGTATTAAAGCTGATGACAATCCAGCAAAATTCCACTGATGGACAGTATTTTTGTAACATTTGTTTTATGCTCATTGCTGCCAGCTACAGCTAAAGAGAAAATAAATAGTTCAGGGTGGCAAATTTCTGCAAAGGGAGAGACTAGTACAGACTTCTAAAGGTATTTCAGAATAGCAAGGCGAAAATGATTTCATTTTAGCTCTGTTAAGTATAAGTAAAGCATTTTCATTTACTTATATAAACTCAAGTGAATTCATATATTTATTAGTTACAACTGGTATCCCTTACTTTTCAGTGCAAGTTTTAATTTCCATAGACTCCAAAAGAATCTTCTAGCTGTTTATGTACCCCCACAATACAACCTATATGTATCTGAAATAGAATCAGTACTCATAAGAATTACCTTACTCAAAGATGTTTAAATAAATCCAGAGTAAAGTATTCCCCAATTATTTTAAAAATAATTTATTTCAATTTTATTTAAAGATGATTCTTTTTTCTGTTTTCTTCTTGAAAGTATTAGACAAAATAAAAAATAAAAATTTATATTTTATATAGACTTTCAAGAATTAATCTTTGTTTTTCATTAGAAGTAACATATAGTAACTTATTCAATTGATTTACTTTTTTTTTTTTTTTAATTATTTTCATTTTGATGCTTGTTTTATTCTTACTACTAGTTTCCCAGGAATATATTAGTTTTGACAAGAAAACTTCCTAGGCA